TGAGCTCTCTGTGAAAAAGCCAGAAAAGAAAGCAGAGGAAGTGAAATGGGCCATTTCATGCAATCCTGGACATTGACAGACTGTGGAAAGTGCTTTTCTGCAAGTTTTTAGAAGTTTAACAGAGATGGCTGCACAGACCTGTAACATTTCATTTATGCTCTGTAATTATTTAATCCTTCTGGGTGTGTGTGCATTTCAATATAGACTCAAACCCTTAAAATTTGCCTCACCTCGGATCCTGGTGAAGTGATGAGGTTAAAATATGTTATACAGCACACAGGGTCTGTCTTCCTGATGCAACCTGTAGGAACATACCGTACTCAAGGACACAGTGAAGGGCCGTTCACACTGACAGTGATTTGCACTGACAATGCAACCGTAAGTCATTCATTTTCAGTGAGAGTTGGAGATTTATGTGACAAGAGTGACAGATAATTGGCGATTTAAGAAAGTTGGGCAGAGGTCAGCTTCGTACAAATCTGCACTGATGTGATGTAGCGACTGTCAGTGGTAGTTCAGACAGTGAAGCTCACGTGATCTGCAATTTGAATTCATACTATTTAAAGGGAAATTCTGACAATTCTGTCATCATTAATTACTGTCATGTTGTAAACCTTCCAAACTTCCAAAAGTTTATTTGAAAAGTGTAATTTTTTCCCTATGTGATGAAAGTCAATGATGTCTAATGCTGTTTTGGACCCCACTGACATTCATTGTATGGACAAACACAGTTGAAACATTCTTCAAAATATCTTCTTTATTGTTATGCAGAATAATGAAAGTCAGACAGGTTTGGAACAGCATGATAGTGAGTAAATGATGACAGAATTTTCATTTTTGGATTAACTATCCCTTCAAAACACTACACACATACAAAACTCTATCCAAACAAAGCATCTCTATAAAGTCTGTGATTCACTTTATGATGGGTTATTCTCTTTCCTCTGGCTGGCCTAGTTTCTCTTATCTCTTAAGAAATAGATTGTGGGGTCAGGGATCAGATAAAGTAGAAGAGAGATCTGTTTCTCTCTTTGTGGTGGGACAGTAAGATGAATGTGTGCAGGGCCCCTCAGGGTAGGCATTAGAATAACCTCTTCGGTCTTGTAAGACAGTGTGTTCTCGTTGCATAAATTTCCTGTATAATCATCACTTACTATTGTAGTGATGTGCATAATGGAGTTAAGGGATAATGATAGGTTTTACAGGCTGTAGAGAGAAGTTGTCTTGGAATTTGTGCCCTTCAATGTGAGATTGTCACATTAGTAAAACGTTTACTGTGCCACAATACTAGCTTAAATTAGGTCCTCAGTAATAGGGCCAAGCAGTGACCACACCCTTTTTTATAAGCGTTTGGAGTGTTTTTCCCATTTCCATATGGATTTCATCTTTTAAAAAAGTTGTAAACCATAAACTGAACTGACTCTGAGATGAATCACAATATTACAGACTTTGATTTGAAACAAAATCTATATATAGATCTAACAGCTGGATTTGCCAGTTTGCGAAGTTTGTTGCATTAAATGTTTAGTAGATATTCAGAGACTTGTTTAAAAGTGTGTGTTTGCTGAATGAATAAAGTATTATGGCATTTGCCTTTCAATTATTAGACAAAACTGTTAAAACAAAGACACTGAACTAATAGAGACAGAGATTGCAAGTTCCTGTGTGTCCGAGCTCAGGTGTTGGGTTCTTATAATAATCGGCCAATGCTGATAATTAAAAAATGCCAAATATTGGCTGATATATCAGCCTTAACAACAGATTACCCCATATTGGTTGATCGCTAATATTTTTATTTTTTACTTTTTAAATGTAAAAATAATACTTTTTAAATTGTAAAATAGTTGAATGTGGAGCCGCCTTGATGTCATTCAATACTTATGAATAACTCTTTTATCCTGGTATGTTTGCTGCAGTACTGTGATTGGTGGCACTTTCCCTTGAGGATTCATGTGTAGTGTAGTTTTTCAAATGGAATTTCCACTGTAGCTATAGGAATGGTATTTTTCATAAATAAAGTAGATTTTTCTATAAATAACTTGAAATATAAAACTTATAAATAACCATTGTTTCAGTTTTAACTTTTATTTATTTATAAATGTATTCCCATGAGGAAAACAGCTTAATGACAGTATAAAAATGCAAAAAGGTTTGTCAGTGTTTAGGTTTTAGGGGACAGAAAAATCATTAGCTCTGTACAAAAACAGGTCAATCCAAAATGATGGAAAAACAAGTGTGTATATACAGGATCTTGTCTTTTGCCTTTGGATAGAGACGTTGAGCGGTGAGGCAGTAAATCGTTTGATTAGTTGATTCACCAAGGGAATCCTGGAATATATTTGCTGCGGTCTTAACACACACACACACACACACACACACACACATACTCTCATACTCTCATACAATGATTCTTTCTTTGTCTGCATCCCCAGGCCATTATATCTAAATTTCTTTGTTTATTTTACCTTATGCTCTGTTTACCTAGTTCTGTTTCCTTCATTTTTGATACTCTTTCACAGCTGAAAAGCAAAAATGAAATCTTTGAAATGCTTGTTTATGCACTGTACCTTAGGAAGGAACCAGTTTAACTATTTTTGTATAATATTTGCCCTAGCTATGAGTATACTTGCATCAAACATGTTTGACATGTTGCCATTGGATCTCACATTATAGAAGAAATTAATGCAGTCAGTATGTTTTCATGCCTTTTAGCATGAGTCCCAGTGTTTTGTGTTACTCTGCTGTTTTGAACACACCCTGCATGCTGCATGTACTCCAGTGCCCCACCGGCTCAGCTCCCTTTCCCTGGGAAACTCATGTACTCAAAGTACTCAAAGTAATCATGTTTTTGTGCCGAAGGCTAAACGCCTGAGAAATGCGGGGGCTCCTGTGATCGACGACTGTCAGTGGTAGTGTGAAGGGAGAGACTGACTGAGACAGGAGAGGATGGTGGAGAATGGAAACAAAGGATCAGTATTGCATGTACATTTGCTTGGAATGAACGTAAGCAATGGCAGGCATGAAAAAATCAGACTGTTAAGGGATGATGGGAACAGATAAAGAAAACACGCTCTTTGAGCCTGCATCAATCGTGAAGTTGTGGGATTAAGGCTGATCTGCCTTCTAAATGTTATCTGGAGCTCAGGCATGGACTTGAACCCGTCTTTAAGAGAGAATAATGCCTCTGTGTCTCTTCCAGCGCAGACAGAGTGAAGACAGAGCCAGAAGTCTTACCAAGCAGACATGGAGCCTCTGCTGAAACCAAGAACTGTTTGTACAGAATACTTGATTCATCCAACAGTATGTTTATGGAAAACTGTCAGCTGTGCCCAAGGCCAATCCATCTTTTTCACTCAGTACTGTGTTGATCAGGGATCAGAATGTTCCATTTTTTCTGCTTAGCATTTATAATTCATCCTATTAATTAAGCATCATAATGAATTAAAACATTTCCATAGGATTCCCTACAGGTTGTGTTCTCCACCACAATAGCACTGCCATCTGTCTGTCTGTCTGTCTGTCTATCTATCTATCTGTTTGTCTGTCTGTCATGACGCCACTGTTCTTCACATGGTTTCCTTTGAGAATGTGGTTTCTGTCATATTGAGGGTGCAGGTATGGCATGATGCTCTGGAGGTCTTAGCCTTCAGAGCTCACAGGTTTAATTAGGGAAAGAATCTTTTTGTTTGTTTGTTTGTTTATTTTTGCCTTTTTCAGTTCACACACAAGTGTTCAACAAGGACACACACATTATCCTGGCAGTGTAAAGGAGGGCAAGCATAAGAGATATGAAGCAGATATGCTGTTTTTTCCCTTGCTGACAAGGACAACACAGGCTTTTATCTTTTGGACTCATCCACAAGACTGCCATTTGTCAAATAAATGCACAGTCCTATTGCAAAAATCTTAAGTCTTAATTAGTATTTTTGTCTTGTTTTCCAATAACAATATGTAAATCTCCTCAAAACAAGACTATTTACATAAACCATAATTTGCATATGATATTAAGCCTTGACTTATCAACATTGAAGTTTAGTCTTAACTCCACTGACAAATTATGTTTCAAGGATGTTTAGATATTTCCAGTGGAAAACAAAATGAAAATACCCATTAAGAAAATGATTCTTTGCAGTGTAATTGTGCATCTCTGTGTTTGATTTCTGCTGACTCTCTTTGATTTCATTAAATGTGATTATTTTGACGCTTCAAACCTGCAGTAACCCTAAAGTTTCCTGTCTTTTGTGGATTTTATAAACTTTAACAGCTGACTGCCTGTGGTCTTGCTGTGTGCTCGGCGGATTCAAGGGCCTCAAACTGTCTGAAATTGAGAAATGTGCCAAAATGAAGACTGCACCTGTCTCAGGGTCTCTCATGGCTGCTACCTGATGTTGTTACAGAAAAAATGAGTAGAAAAACAGCTTTTACCTGCTTCGGTAGAATACAGCACCCTTAAAATACACAAGTTTCTCTAAAATACAGTAAAGTGCCTCTTTAGGGTTCTGGGTCTAAAAATACAGCTCACCTTGAGTTAGTGTGGAGAAGTGAATGTAGAAATTTCTCCCTGTGAGCACACACTTCATAGAAAATCTATTTCATAGGTTAGGACAACATTACCGCAGGGTCCAAAAAGGTTTTTTTTAAAACTTAATAGCACGAGTGAATTCACTCAGTGGGGAGGAAAAAGATGCTTAGACATGCCATAGTCTGTATTTTTATTATGAAAGTTTTTTGTTTTGCAGTCTGCAGAGATATTTTTAGTGTTAACACAGCTTTATACGCTTCTAGTTTTGTTGCCATCTGCAATTTTAGCCTCAGTATGACTCTTTATGCAAGACATGATGTCTCTGCCTAATTATAGATAGGAGTCCTTCCCAAAACACAACATAAACATCTGTTTCTCTTCTTCTTGGCTCTCTGCCTATTTCTCCCTCTTTTTTTCTCCTTCTATCATTCTTCCAGTACTTAGTTTTGTTTATTGTTACTTCCTCTCTGTTTCCTAGGAGCTGATGTTTATCCCACGGATCTACTGGACAGCACATACACGTGACAACATCATCTCCCACAAATCCCAGGACACTCTTCCTTCTATGTGGATTAAAGTTTATATCAGGGAAACTAGAGCTTAAACAACTGGGATTTTTCCCATGTTCTGTAGGAAATGAGACTTTGGCATCTGTCTTTTCTCTCTACATGGACGAAAAGCCAAGGAAAGTGTACTAAAAGCTGACCGACAGGATTAAGTTAATTTACAAAACTTACAAAAAACCCAAAGAAGAGCCTGATGGTGTCATATGATATGGACTAATTGTACTCAGTCAGAGCGCCCAGCTGCAGCACTTTGGCTCCTGATGAAACTGATGTTTTTCTGCATAATTCGTAGTCAGTTTGGAGCCGTTAGCCCTCCCGCACTGTGTGTCATAGCATGTGGTTTGGGCTCAACATCCACAGCATCTTAATTACACAGCCGAACCGATTTAGACCACAGAGGAAACATCACTACATCTGGAGATATGCTGCCATGTAGAGGGATGCACAACGCTGGAGACATCTGATCTGCTTTCCTCACATTTTTGGTTCTCTTTACCTATGCGATTACCCAAAAGAAGCCCAAGAGATCCCGCTCTCTCTCACACATGCACCTAGTAAGTTTTTGAGTATAACGTCTGTAACCTTTCAAGTGCTTCTCTTTCTCTCCACCACTGACGTCCCATTCACACATCCCGCTATAATGAAGCCTTTAATTAATGATGCACAGGTTCAAATTAGCCTGGTTCAGTGACTATCCAGGGCCGTTGGTCCCTGCAGACACAGTGACCTTTGGAGAGGGCCAGACTGCTGCTCTGTGGCCAAGCACCTTCACACACACACACACACACACACACACATATACACATACACGTACGTCTACCCTTGAGCCCTTGGCAGTAAATAGTGAATGGTAAATGTCAGTGCTCTGGCCATTGAATTATACAGTTTATTTGAATAAGTATTAGAGCACCACAATCTCCACCAACAGCTTGCCTCTGTCCACACATCAGCCTTCACCAAGCTGGGAATTTTCTCTTTGATTAGCGGGATTATATTGTCTTTTATCTTGCGCTTGCTCTGTTACTGTCTCTCTTTTCCTGTTCCTTGCAGCGGCAGCCATAAGGGTTGCACCGACACATTTGGCTGGACTACAGAGCAGCGTTCCACGTGGATAAATTAGTTTATTTCGTGTCGGGGTTACACATTCTTGCCATATATTTTTTTACAACTGCACGGCTCGTGGAAGATGACAGGAAAGACTTAAAAGGGCCTGATGCACCTTTTAAGAGCAGCAACAAAAATTAGTAAATCATCAAGAGGGAGTGAGGGCTAGTTCTTCACAGATAGCACTGAAGGAAACGCTCAACTCCCTCCACCTGCCGGCTCCGAGCGAGCGAGAGCTAGAATTGAGGTCTCTGGCAGACTGGCAGTTGCATCCTCTCCTGCTCTCTAGCCTGGTGGTTTGTTGATGCATATGCCTTGATTTCCGCGTTCCTCAGCCCTCCACCTCTGTGCCCGTATAATGCTCTGTTGCCGGTGTGCCGTCCTGGAGCCATGCCCATCCCCGAGATGGCTTTGAGTCCGGTGAAGTCTCTGTACTGGGAGGTGTTCCCCTCCATGGCCACGCAGCGGGTGTACTGCACGCCCGTGCTCTGGGCCGGGCGCCTCTACGTGCTGGGGGGCTGCAGTGAGAACGGCCTTCCTCTGGACTCTGTTGAGGTGCTGGATCTGGAGAGCCAGCGCTGGTGCGAGCTGCCCCCTCTCCTCACCGCTCGGGCCGGGGCATCCGCCGTGGCCGTCGGAGACCAGCTGATGGTCATGGGAGGCATGGACGCGCAGCAGAGCCCGCTGGCCTCAGTGGAAGTATATCACCCTGATGAGGGCAAGTGGGAGAGGAAGACGGGACTGGGGCAGCCCTCTATGGGCATCACCATGCTGGAGAACGGTAAGAACAGTGTTTCCTCCTCATTTTGACTAATTCTTTGTTGAAAAGACTGTGCTGGTCAAGCTTTTTTCCTTACTACACTGCAAAAAAGTTTTTCCACTTAAAGAAAGTCTAAAAACTTGAAGCTAAATTGTGTAAGAAATTAAAAGACATGTTTTCAGGGAATATGCTCTGAATTATGCTTATTTTTCTTAACTTATTGTCAAATTAGGCATAAACCTCACTAAATATTGTTTGTTTATGCCTAATTTGACAATGGGGTAAGAAAAATAAACTTAATTAATTGATTATTCTTTGAAAATGAGTCTTATTTCTTGCAATTTTGCTTCTGGGGTTAATGAAAAATAAGAGTGTCCATGAAAAAAGAAAAGTGTTTGTTAGTTTCTACACCATTTCCAAAGTTTAATGACCAGTAAAAAGCCATGCTTTTCTTATACCGTGAATGCATGTGATTTTTACAGTTGATTTACAGTTACCAGAATTTTTCAATTCAAAAACATCATTACGTTTTGTTGGAGTCGCACCACAATCTGAACTAACCTGCCTCAAAATTTAAAATATCTATTTTTAAAAAATGTCTAATTGACCTTGACACACAGTCATGAGGGTCTTCAGGGGACCTCTCAGTGATGTCATTTCCTGTTTTATCATTTCTGAATGTTAGTTAGACCATTTGATAATTTGACAGACAAATGTTTTTCGAATATTAATACTAAAGCAGTTTAAATTTTTTTCCCAGTGGAAAAATTCAAATAAAAGAATATTACAAAATACTTTTCAAGAATTTCATTCTTTTAATAAGGATTTTTTTTTTTTTTTTAAATAATGGTTTCGGGACAGTTATATTACCCTGACATTTTTAACTTTATGCCCCCCAAAATGAATTTTTATATGGAAATTAAAAACATGCTAACCATAGAAAAATGTATTCACATAATTATATGCTTGAATTGCGTTTTTAATTAATTAATAGAAAGTGAAAAATATTAGCATGCCATATCATTGATCTAATTTTCAAGGAGGTTTAGATGTTTTACAGTAAAACAAGACAATGCTTCTTACCCACATCACATCACATCTTGTCACTACAAGTGTATGAATTTCGACCATTGTCAGACTACACTGTCATTATTTGGTTCTCAAACCTCAGGAAGCTGCAGTGCATAGAAAGACATCAGACTGTAATTGGGGAAAACAAAGTTTGGTTCTTCTCTCGTCTATCAGAGCACGATTAGTCGTATAATCTTGACTGCTGTTATCTTTGCTACAGTCACTGTGGTTGTAATGAATGTCTCTCGTAGCCAGCACCTCTAGAGTGCTCCGGATATACCAGCTCCAAATCAAGGCATCAGTCATGCCATACTGTGACAAAGAATTACACTGCAGAGAAAAGTCTCTCTCACACACTCTCCCTCCTCTTTAGCTTGTGTAGGTGTGTGTTCAGGTGACAGTTTATCCAGTTTGAGACCCTGAGGAAGAGTGTTTATTCACAGGGATTCGCTTCTGCTAAGCCGTATTCCACCAGTTGAGCTGCATTCAGGCCTGGACTGATCAGTTCCGTGGATCCGTTTTAAAACTATCAGCAGGCCGGCTAATACAAGACCTGTATTTGTGCGTTCAACTCGTAAATACGATCTATCCGACATGACTTGAACGCACCATTAGAGCTTGTAACAAGATCAGGAATCGTTAAAGGGACATTATCCTCAAGCAGTGACAGAATCAGAAACTCGTACTTTGTGCACAAAAGTTTTATTAACTAAACACTAACACAAAACTAGTCTAACAAACATACACACACTCACACATGCATACAAGGGGGAGCTAAAGTGGATGAATGAAACCAAAGAATGCAGCTATGGAAAATGGGTCAGTTAACCACCTGAGAGAAACCATCAACGGGGTCTACAGCTTATACTAAACCTCTGTTTTGTTAGTTAAATGTATGATACTTGCATTGCCTTGGCCATTGAACGAACATCTGGATGCAGTCTCAGATCAAAGTCTTGATGGTTTGAAGGCTTGGTGTTGTTGGAATTGCTTTCACGTTCTTCCAGGTTTGAAGAGTGATGAACTCCAAAGATGTTATTGTGACTCAGTGGTAGTCTCCCAGGTGGAAAGTTGCAACATGGCTGGTCCTGCCAGCAGGGGGGAGGTGTTGTGGGTCGCAGTCGGACTGGATGTCCGAAAGACGAGAGGGTAAGAACGCTGAAGAAAAGAGAAGAGAGAAGTCACTGATGTGAGGCCTTTTAAGTTCTATGGAGTTCACACCTCCAGGGGGTTGGTGAGCCAATGGTGACTTAAACTTTCGGGGGGAACATTTACAACTCTTTGTCTTTGAACATGGTATTTTGCATATGTAACTGGATTGGGTGTTGATACAAAAACTAATAAAGATTCCTAGAACACTAATATGTTGCATGGGTATTAACATACGTATAATATACACTCTCATTTAGGTCATCATAATACAAATGTATATATACCAAACATATACGGGTATACGGGAGGTTACATTAACTGGTGGTTCTATCAAAAGCATGCATAAAACAGTATAGAATACAAAAGACAATATACAAGAACAGTAATAATACACACAGTGGCCTGGGGATATGCATGATAGAAAGGTCAAAGAAAAGTCTGTCTATGAATTCATGAAAAGAGTCCTTTTCTATAGGCAGTATGTGTCTAATTCAGAGACAATTAAGTAAGAGGGAGAATCTCTCAACATGCCATTAGTTCGTAAAGTTTATCTGGTCTGGCTGAAGTGTCGTGGTTGCCATGGTAATCAGTGGTCTGGGTCGTTCTCAGACATTCCGGCACCCAGTCTGGTTGTAGGGTGAGGGGGTCGGTTGAATTATTTGTTAAATATAACACATAATTCTGTGTCTGATTTATCCAGGCATTACACAAGCAGCCATGTAGTGTTATCTTTTAATAATTTGCCATTATAGCAACAGGGTGATCAGGACCTCAACACAAATTAACTGTTTTTTTATCATCCTGAAGGGGTTTATTTTCTGACACAAACTGCTGTGAGATCTATATAATTTACCAGATTAATCCTTGGGTGATCCTTACACAACCTTTCTTTCATGTTCAACTGACAGTCTATCATCGTAATTCATCATGTCCTTTTGTGTCAAAAAAGCATTAAGGTCCTAAAACAGGCCGTATGAAGCCATAATTCTGTCCCAGGCTTTGGTATCAAAGACCTCTGTTTTCACCTCTCTCTCTCTCTCTCTTTCTGTGAGCGAGGCTTGTTCTCTTTGATATCCTTCACGTCATCTTAGGGACAAATTGCTTTGAGGGTCCAATCTGTATTTGTATGGCTTTGAAATCCCATTTTCCTTTGCACCCCTTTGGCTTATCAGAACTATTCTGTATCCAAATATAAATCGGGGTCTGAGCCAAACCATCTGGATTTTGTAAATAACACATCCCATAATGAATTTGATCTCAATCATAAGAAAGAAAATGTATTTTTTTTAGCTGATGCTATTTGTGATAATGACAATAATAGAGACTCAACCTAGAGAAGTGCAGCTGTGGCTGGTTAAAACCACAGAAGTCCTATCTCGTATTTTTGCTTCTAAACATTAATGTTTTGGTGTGCGCTGTTGTCTAGCATGCAGTTTGAGTGTGTGTTGCGGTGTGAGGACGTGTCATGCTGACCTGTTTGTCACTGGGATGGCATTTGGAGTGGATGGCTATTTAGGCAGACAAGGTCTTTTTGATTTTAGACTTATAACTCTAAGGGAACAGAGTGTCTCACCAGCACTCTGAAGGAAACAGCTGTCAGCTTGGGTTGTCAACCATACCTTATAACACAAAATCATCCTGTGTTAAATCCAATGTGGGATGCAGTTTGTCTCATGTTTTAGTGTTTAACTCCTGAAATACAGCTGATAGCACTAATCATGCTGATCCCAAACATTTGAATGGTAGCACATGTGTTTTGTGAAGGGTAAAATGTAAAGATTTATTCACTTTCAGTAAGTTTCTTGAACATTGGTGCACGTTTTTCACTGGATTTTTTGCTGTGTTACAAATGTGTACACATTTGTGAGACAGGGTTAAGCTGTTGGCTTTTTTAAAAGTATTTATTTGATTTGATTTTATGAATTTGGTTTCATGAAAGTGAGCATGGTTGTCAGTTACAGGACAGATTACAGTCTAAGACAGATGACTAATTTTTCACAAAATGTATAATTACAACATATTACTAGCTAAATTAATAAATTGATATGTGGGACACTTTTGTATGACATGAAAATCAGAAATGCGCTGATTTCTGTCTGATACAGAAAATCTGATAATTATTTTCACATTAAAAAAAATTGTAGAATAGAAATAAAACACTGAAAATTAAAGTGAATTTAGGCATCACAACATTAGTGTTTTATTTTTAATTTATACAAAATATTTTAATGTCACCCATTTATGAATTATTGGCTATAATTTGACAATAATTATTGGCTTTATCTGTATCAGCCTGAATTTGACTATTGGTGCATCCATAAACAGTAAAGCCAACAGACAACTATTTATAGTTCATCTGTAAATAAAGTTTAGAAATAAACTGATGTCTATATAATACAATCTAAGTGATCACATTACAATGCACTTCACTCTGTAGATTTTATTTTTGTTTCTAGTGTGGTCAGTTGCTACTTGCCACTAATGGTGCCACTAATGCTCAAAAAGCATATATGACATAAATATAAATGTCTTCATAAGCTGTCTCCACTGTCTTCATTGCTTTCTTGTGCTTAAGTTGGCAACCCTCTAAACAGCACGCCTATGGGCCTGTGACAGTGAACTCTCTCTCTCTCTTTCTGACTGCTGCTATCTGTATCTCCTTCTCTACCATCCCTCTCACTTCCCTACCATCATTTGATCAAGAGAGCATTCTTGTTGCCAGGCAACAGGTGTGTAAATCTGTGTGTGTGTGTTTGACCCAGAGACATTTTTAGAACGGAACAGGCTGAGTTGCAATG